ATTTGAGTGAAACGAAATAAGAGTGAGGTGACGGTGTGAGTAATTTACGAAGAAGATTATCTTTAAAAATGAAAGGTAACTTATTCGGTTTTTGTTGAAGTTGAAGAATAATATTTTGTATATTGGGATCTCGAGCCTGTTCTTGTTGTAATTTATTTGTGTCAAAATAATTCGAAGTAAATTTGTGTGGTATGGGTTTTGTATTTGATACATCAGTATCTGTATCTAAAGTAATATCAGGATCAGTATGGACGAAAGCATCAACACTCGCTGTAGCTTTCACTGATTCGTCTTTATTTTTTCGTGATCATAATAACATTGCAATTAGAAGACATTGATCAGTGGGTAAGGAATTTAATAGTGGTTGTTTACTTCCAATTCCATATTCGATATCAAATAAATCATCATCTTGGTCGCGAGGATATCGAGATAAATAATCAGGTAAGCAGTTATCACGACCGTTAATATGGATGACTCGTTCAATATTATATAGTTGGATTAATTGAGCAATACGATCCACTCTTGCATTTCTAATTGTCTTTTTCATAATATTACATAATGGACAATGATCAGTTTGTATGATAATACGTCGACCTAATAGATATGGTCTCATATGAGCAAAACATTTGTAGATTGCTAAAGCTTCTTTTTCAATTGAACTATATTTGCATTCACAAGGTGTTAGTAATTGAGAATGATAATATAAGTTTCTAAGTTGACCATTGACTTCTTGTTGTAATACACCTCCAATGGCGATATTACTTGCATCGGTCGTTAATATTAAAGGTTTATTGTCGACAGGAAAATGAAGAAATAATGGTTCAGTGATAAGCATTTGTTTGAGTTGATGAAATGCAATCGATTGTTCTGATGACCATTTAAATTGACGACGATTTTTTTTGTTAAGATTAGCGACGGAGTGTATTGGTGCTGCAATTGTAGCGAAGTTCTCGAGAAATTTACGATACCAGCTTAATGCACCAATAAATTTATTTGCACGAGCTCATGTATGTGGTTCTTTGATGTCAAGAATTGCTCGTATTTTATCATTCATTGGAGTAATAATCTTTTTACTGATTGTATGTCCAAGATAATTGATTGTTGGAACCATAAGTTCGCATTTTGAAGGATTAAGGACGAAATGCTTTGTTTGTAAAGCTGTAAATACTTGTTCAAGATGATTAATATGTTCTTCATGCGACTTTGAAAAAACTATTATGTCGTCGAGATATACAAGACAAAATTGGCGACAGGAGGGTAATGTATTGTTCATTACTTTTTGAAAGGTCGGTGGTGAATTTATAAGTCCCATAGGTAGAACATTAAATTGATAAAGACCAAATGGTGTAACAAATGCGGTTTTTCCCTTATCAGTTTCATTGATTGGAATTTGATAAGAACCGGATTTCAAATCTAATTTACTGAAGTATTTATATCCTTGTCCTAATTTTCGAAGTGTCTCTTCCATATTTGGTAATGGAGAAGAATCTTTAATTTGTAATTAAATTTAATTTTTTATAATCCACTACGAAACGGTATTGTCCATCTTTTTTCTTGACTAAAATAGCAGGTGCAGCATATGGAGAATGAGATTCTGTAATTAATCCTACTTGTAAAAATTCTTGAATAAGTGAATACATTGCTTCTTCTTTATCTGGTTGTGGATATGGCTTACAAGCTGGTGGTATATGTGGAATGGTTTTTATTACATGGTGAATCGATGTATTGACAATGCTATGTTTAGTTGTGTCGAAAATTTGATGGAAACGAAATAAGAGCGAGAGAAGAATATCATGTTGTTGTTGATGTTGAATTTTATTAACTAATTCACGAATATCTTTATCAACGATTGGATGAATTGAATGAATTGTGTTACAAGTATTTTGGTTGATAATGGATTTGTTGAAATGTTTATTATTAGTCGTAAGGGTTATATAAGGATGTGTTAAAGAATGATTACTTGAGTGATCTACGGCTGAGTCAAAGACGTCGGGTATCTCACCAAAATGTTTGACGACCCCCTTTGACTTAGTCATAGGAATGGAAATGTGGTGTGTGTGCGGTTTGACGATGGAACAACATAAGTATCCAATGCGAGTACCTTTATTAATAAATTTTGGATATGGTGATGTATTTAATAACGTCATAGTATATAA